ACCAAGGAGGAATAGGGCACTGGCTGAGAATGCATTTCCAAATACTTTGAGGATGGCTGATAGACTGGTCGGGACTGAGTGACTGAAGACGAAATTTCCGATGATCCCCAGAACCGCCATGAAGAGGATGGGGTTGAGGGCCACTCCCTTCATCACTGAACCCACCAAAGTCCATCCTGACTGTTGATCACTTGCAGTCCTTTGTTTGCCAATCTCCAATAATACGAAACCGATTGGATTGAGAATAGCCAGAGATATGGGAGTCATCAGGTAGAGATATGCTGAGTATTCTGGATGTATCTGGCTGTAGAGTGCTCCGATCATGGGGTAGCCAATGGCGAAGTCATTACTCTGGGTTGTGAAGATAGCGAACACTGCTGCACGTCCAGGATTCGTGGGCTTCGTTATCCTGAGAGACACAAGGAGAACTACAAAGAACACGCATCCTTTGGCAATCATCACTGCCAGCAGGAAATTGCAGTTTACTACTGAGAAGTCGAGTCTTGTTAGTGATGAGAATATCAGTGAGGGCAGTGCGAATATGCCGACAAAGGTGATGAGACCGTTCGCCTCTGCTCTCGTGATTATTTCCAGTCTCCCAGCGTTGTACCTGCAAAGTTCAATTACTTATTTGTTGCACATGAAGGCTACCAATCAAATCTCTTTATTGATTATTTTTTGCACATTTAACCCATCCGTGGAGTTTGCAAAACAAAAAAAATGACAATTTTTTTGTTGATTAATAATTTATAATGAAATAATGGGTTGAATGAATGAAGAAGCACACAACTAAACGTTGCTTTCATTTTCAGTATGGAAAGATTGACAAATGCAAATAAATTCATCAAGGGAGGGTTTCAAAACATTTACTGAATAATTAGCTGTAATGAATTAATTGAATTGACGACTAAGAAAAAGGCACATGGTTAAAAACTGAGTGACGCATTCTCCGAAATTTTTCTACATACCCGCATACTATAATTGCAAAGCACTGGATTAAGGCCAGATACAAATTGTCAGTTGGTGTATCCATTGAGGCATTTAAAAATTCCATCATATTGGTTTCGTCGTTCTATTCAATCCTAATATTCAAACCCTGTCGACAATTCCTGTAACATAATGACATGTTTATAATACAATGAACAGAACATATGGTGTTCGACTGTAAATTATTGAAGGGAAGTGTATCAAATGGATGAAATACGACGCATGATTCATGTCATTACGCGACGCAGGCACGTGACATTTGGACTAACGAAGGTGATACGACAAAATTTAAAAAACTCACAATTCGTTGACATCCGTCATTCTTTTGCAATTACAGAGGCATATTCTGTACCAGAGAATTTGCTTCAGCCGAACCTCCGAAAACCATTGGAGCACAGCATAATGACAATCCGTCACCGTGGTGCGATGAGCTTTGATATGACAATGATTAGGTGACCTTTATCCGAGAGTTGACCCCCTTCTGGGGTGTCAAATGATGCTTAATGGAGAATTATTCCAATTTGTTTGTTTTTTAGAGAAAAGTTCAAGTGCAGGGACTTCTGTTATTAATTCACCTGAAAAAAATAATCGAACGTAAAGTGTTCAGTGATTTTGCGATTATCTCAGGAAGGAGTAGTTTGGCAAGAAAATGTCAAAAGACTTTTTTCTAGCGAATTTCATGGGCTACAAAAAAGTCAAGTAACATTTCTTGATAAAACCACTCGTTATCGAGATATTTAAGTAATTAGTTGAAAAAATAATGAACGTGGAGAA